TATAATGCTTGTTGCTTTTTTGTCCATAATTGTTCCTTCTAAACGTGTTTTGGTACATTTGGGATGATAGTAATGCATAATACAAATATTTATAGTACATTAGCCTGAAAGTTCAAATTATGAATGTTATAAAATATATTACTACACTGATAAAGACAAATATCCATAAATATAACTATAAAAGAGAAAAATAAAAAACTGTTTCCAAAAGTAAAGATTTGTCTAAAACCATTCTTTTTATTACTTCTGTAATTTTAAGCATTTATATATTTTTTAAAATCTCAGTCTAATTATAGCTCTTTCAGCCAACATTTAAAAATTTCTGTAAAACTGACACTGTATATCACTCCTTAAAATTTTTTTGAATGAGTAAATGTATTTTATTAAACTAAATTACATGAAAATAAAATGTGAACATAATTGATGACTAAAAATTCCTGTCTTAGAAGTTCTACATGTAAGGTCCTAAAACAGAAATTATTATTTCTATTACCATTTCTACAATTTTTTGCTTTTGGTGCTTTTAACAAAATAAGGAGGAGGGCCTGCTTCTGATAACCTTGGAAGTATGACCGGAACTAAATCTGTTATTTGAATCAATTAAGCTGCACAGATCTAAATCTCTCACAGAAACTAATCATTCAAACTATTGAATTACTCTGAAAATACAGAGCAAGGAAAGTCCAATAATCTATCTCTCCGTTAAAAATAATAGCCTGTCTTACTGCACTATGTCACTTTACCGATGCAAGTATTTAAGCTCTTCAGATGCTAATCTATGTATTATTTTAGATAACCACAGTTTAAAGAATTAACATTCACTCCCACATTTACCTACTTATGTGAGTTTCAGAATTTTAGTAAAATATGTTTATTGCTTAACTTTTAATAGGAAACAAAATGAGTGTTACAGTGTTAGTCATCAGAAACTGTCACTCAAGGTATGTGCAAAAAAGTAAAATCCACTTGACATTTCAGAATGAAAAACAATAAAGGCACAACATTATTCAAAAGAAATGGGAGTCCTTGGACTCTATAATGACAACAAAAATAGGAGTCATAGTAATGTTTACTAATATTTCAATAATCTCAGCACTGGCCTTCCCAGGACTCCTAGGCAACTGACTTAGGTATGTTGAAATTTACGGGCATTTGACATGAAATCTTATGGCTAAAGAGTTTTTGTTTAATCTTCCTCTAAGTGTAAAAGACAATGCAGAAGTCCTGAAGTCTAGTTGCAACATTTTTGACAAAGTATCACTTCTGTTTATCAAACCCTCTTAAAACGAAATCCACAAGGAAAAATATTGCCTTTGGCCATTCCCACCAAGTATATTTTTTATACTTATTTTCACATGAATTTATTTGTGCACTGAAAAATAAATGTTCACATTTTACTGCAAGTAAAGCATTTTTCGATCTGTTGCAAAATAGAATTCAGGACCTCCAAGGCATTGTGTAATATTGACATCCTTGCTTCTCATCTATTTACCACCTTATAAAAGCAGCTGGAAGAAATAATAGCTCATTTTAACTACAGCAATGCTTCATCTGACCAGGCCACAATGAATTTACCAACCACACAAACTCATGAAACGGTAAAAACTCATAAACCCCCTGTGAAGAGAGTTGAGTAGCTCTCTCAATCCTAGCCCTGGGGGAAAAAAATTTACCAGTTTAGCTATATTGGCCATAAAATTGTAAACTGACTGGCAGTCACAACTAAATCAAGACATATTCTCAACTATCTTTTCTTTCAAATACCAGGGTTATTAAAATACTCCCCCGCCCCACTTAGCTGGATTCCCTGAGCAGCACAGAGCTTCAGCAACTAAAGCAACTTTTCCTTTTTTCCTTTTTACCATAATATTATTTCTCTTTGCTTAGGCAGCTTCATCAGTGGTGCCCTAATGCAAAGACTAGAATACTGCTAACTGCTCACTAAATTACATCTTAAAATAAAGTATATGTTTACTGTGCAAAAGCACCATGCATTATCAGTCCTCTAGCTATAGGCCTCTATCGTTGCTAGCTTAGCTAAGAAAAAAAAAAATCCTTTTAACTTACTACCAAAGATCATTCAAATCACAGCCAATAGATCCAAATTAAGAATGAATACATTCAGAATGTCTGCCTACTGTCAGTACCAGTTTTTGTTATGATGGCTGTCAAGTTTTAAAATGTGACAATGGGAATATATTTTCCGAATAAGTTATTCCCCTGAGTAAACCCTTTAGAAATCCAGCCATCACTATGGGCAATGTAGGTTCCAAAGGATGAACGCTCTTCACACTTGAAAGGGTTAAGTGCCTGCAAGGCCAAAGGCACCAGACTGCAAAAGAAATGTTGCTTTGGTAAGCTCTGAAAGGTTTCTAACAAGTACCAAATACTTGTTGATCTGTTCACAATAAACACCAGCAGGATTGTCAGGCTCCTTTCACTGTCTGGGGAGATGCATTTACATACTGCACCTAGGAAGAACAGCTTGTTGGTCTCCTTTACAAAAGTTGAGTAACTAGAAGCCTCATTCAGTGTCTCCCATCCAAATGACTGAAAGAAGATGCAATTGAAATCGTGGAGTCTCTCGTCTGGCTTGGGCAGCATAAATGCTGTGCATAAAACACTTGGAGTAGTTCAGGCACAAGACAAACCTACCTGAATGGACGAGGAACACTGTCTGTTGCCATGGCAGCCTGATCTAATTACATGAGCGATCAGGGCTGGAGTAAGTGCACCGAAAACCTACACCACTGACAGGCAGCCAGGAGGTTCAGGGGAGCCCTTCAACCTCTGCTTTATGTAGAAGATGGCATTCAAGTCCATTTATTTGCGGAGCTGCTAAAATATTGACTGATGCATGCACAGTGAGAGGGCAATCAGAGGAGATTAAATGGCACAGCGCTAGCCGTTATGGTGCAATCCCTTTCCAAGAGTTCCTGTGCAGGATTTTCTCTTCTCTCTGGTGGTTTCCTCAGGCATAAGCTTCATTCCAAAAAAAGCTCGAGTATCAAACTACCTTTACCCACCAAATAAACCGAAGGGTGGGCTTAACGGGGGCTTCTAGGAACTGCAGCCTCCTAAAAAACCCAAACAGAAATGTCTTCGCTAACACTGTTGAAAAAGTAACTAGCTATGCCTAAAAATAACCAAGTAACTACCCACTGCTGTGTGCAATATATAACGATGATGTTTAAATATTAAAAACAGCCTGCATTATAAAACACAAATGTCATTGAGATGTGACTACTAGATTGCCAAAGGAGAACTTATTTGCATACACACATTCCCGTGCATGCACGACAGGATGTGCAGGGAGAAAGCCACTGTAAGGCATTAGTTTTTATTCTGTGGGTGTAATAGGGTCTTCTAATTTTGCTAATTGTATCCTGTGGATCTCACAGGGAAGCTAAGAATCTCTTCGGGGACAGAACCAGTTTGGAGGAGTCCCTACTGCACAGCATACGGTAAACAAAATAAAAATAGCTTGCCTTTCTTGTTAGCCACATCGCGCATTATATAACCAGCTTCTTCCGACTGGCTTTTTTTTTTTTTTTCCTGCCCTTACTACTCTTCAGCAATTTCTCAATCTTCTCAAATATTTATATTACCCTTTTATCTGTAGGATTATATACCAAGAAAGCAAAACAAAACAGAGCAGCCACGGGCTCGAACCTAACCCCCGACGTCCTTAGAAACTGATTTTTTTTTGTTTTGTTTTGTTTTCTGGCAGAGTCTCGATCACCACCCTACTTCCACCCCCCACTAAGGTTCTTGCTCAATCTCCCTAGAAAACCTGAATTGTTTCATCCCTTCCAGTCAGCCCCCTACGTGGTCTGAAATAAAATGAAAGCACAAGCCACGGAGTTTAAGAAGGCAGCCTGAAGGCGGGGGGCTGAAGAGGGGTCGGGGCGCTGCAGAGTCAGCCAAGTAGCCAAGGAAGGGCCACCTCCGCGTCGCGACTGCCCTCGCCCCCCGCCCGGCGCGCGCGCACACACACACACAAATACACACACACTCACTCACACACACACTCACTCACACACTCACGCCGCGCTTCGACACCGCCTCACCTCTCGCTCCGCCCGTCCGGCCCCCTTCCCTGCCCCCTGCGGGACCGGCCTGCGCGCAGCTCTGGAACCACGTAGGAGGCGGCGGCGGCGGCGGCCCCGGGAGTGGCAGAGTCTCCGGCCCGGCCCAGAGTGAACGAGCAGTGGGGCTCCAGGGCGCATCCCAATCCCCGCAGCGCCTCCTCCACCGCCGCCGCCTCCTCCTCCTTCCCCTCCTCCTGGCTTCATTCACCCTCCCAGCAGCCGCGCAGCCGTTCACTCCCGGCTCAGGGCAGCGCCTGCCGCGGCTCCTCGGCTCCTGCCGCGGGTGCTGGCGGGGGCGCCGGCCCGGATTGGGGCGCTCGCGGGCTCCCGGCTCCGGGCGGCGGCTGCCGCTGCACATGATCAGGAAGCGGCCGCACCAACAGGGCGGCGGTGGCGGCGGCGGCCAGGGCCGCCACCGCCACTCCAGCCGCTCTCCAGGCACCCGCACACCCGCTACCCCTGCGCGGTCCCCGAGGCCACCCCTCCGCGCCCCCCGCCTGGCACCCGGCCGCGCGCAAAGTCCCGGCCAGGCTGCAGGAGCAGTCCCTTCCCCGCCCGCAGCCGCACACCCGGCGACGCCGGCCCTCCGAGAGGAGACCCCTACCCCGGGGAGCCGAGGCCAGGCGACCACCCGCGGGGAAGTCCAGCCCTCCCCGAGACCCCCTCTCTCTCACCGCCCTCTCCGGAGAGGAGGAATGGGAAGAGGGCGGCCGGGAAAGGGACCACCCCCCCACCCCGGCCGCCGCCACCTCCCCCCTGCGCCACCCGGAGGGAGGAGGACATAGCTCTCCGCACTCGCGACCGGACCAGCAGCCGGGGGGAGCGGGGCCCCGCCGCCGCTCTCCCCGCCCGCGCCCCCCGCCCGGGCGCGCCCCCTAGCCTGGCGGGCGCCCACCCAGCCCCTGACAGCCCCCTCGCCGGCCGCCCCTGCGCCCACAGTGGGGGTGTCGGCCCGGGAGCCTGGAGCCGGGGACGGTTGTATGTACACACACACACACACACACACACACACGCACACACAGAACACGACGCGTCGATTTCCTTCGCTCCTCTTCCAGCTGTTTTCCGTGCAGCCGATTGGGGTTTTGGGTTTGTTTGCTGGTTGTTGCTTTTGCCCCTCTCGGGAGATCGGGTGAGAAGGGATTTTAATCTAAATAAGGGGAGAAGGGGATGGGGAAGGGGGGAAGAATCAGAGGAGGAAAAAAAATAGCCACTTACTGTAAAGTGTAAATGGATCTGGGGTTGCGTGGGGAAGGGGGGGCAGAGGGAGAGAAACAATGTCTTGCGGCTGCTGTTGCTCTGGCTGCTGCTCCACGGGGCTTGTTTTGGATCCCCCTGCAGTGAAACAGGTCCTGTACGGCTCCGCCACTGTAGTAGAAATGATGTCTGCGGTATACTCTGCTCTCTCCTCCTCCTCCTCCTCCTCCTCCCCCTCCTCCCGCTCCCCTCCCCTCCCTCCTCCCTCCGCCCGCCCGCCCTCCCTCCCTCGCGCTCTCTCGCGCTCGCTCGCTCGCTCGCTCCAGTATGTAAATGTGTAATAGAAGCCAAATATGGAGCAGTTGGCTGCCGCCGCCGCAGCTCAAGGATCCGACTTCATGGGGGTGGGGGGCACCCTCTGGCGGGCGGCCCGGCGAGCCGCACAGAGCACGGCGAGCGCACCGCGCGGCTGCCGGCCCGCGCCCTTAACCCTTCGCTGCGCGCCGCCTGGGGAGGCGGACACCTTTCCCAAAGAGTGGCTCGGGATGGGGTGCGGGGGAGGGGAGACGCGGACCGGAGGGCAAGGTTCCTTCCAGGTTTGGGATGGGGGCGGGGAGCTGGGCGATGAGGTAATTTGAGCGGTGACGGGTCGGTCCTCGCGCGCCTCCCTGGGTCCCTGCACCTAGTTGGAGGGGACTGAGCGACAACGGGGCGCTACTCAGGCAACCTGGGGGACTCCCTCAGGGGGTGTCAGGCTTCAGCTGGGAGCCGATGAAACACCCCAGGGGGGAGGGGAGGTCAGTCAATTCTAATCCCTACGTGCCCTTGGTCCCCGGCGCTCGGAACAGCGTCTAAAAGGGCTCACTCTGATCATCAGCTGCACGTTAACCCGCAAACCGGCGTCGCTTCGGCGTTCCGGAACCCAGGCCCGGGGGCCGCGGGGATTGCCTCTGCATGCAACTCCGGAAAGTTTCAAGGGGCCCCTTGACTGCACAGGCACCCTCACCTTTCCTGCCTGCGAACGCTGGCGACCGCCGGACCCTCCCCTCCCTCTCTCCGCAGGTCCGGAAATCGGCTTTGATATGGAACTACTCCGCTCTAGCCTGGAAAGGAGACCCGCGCACTCCTCTCGCAGCTAATTTGGGATCATTAATTTAATCGGAAATGAGGTAACCAGTGTAGGAGACAGAGAAAGCAACCGGAGCATCAAATGGCAGTTCTCTACAATCGACGAGGAACTTAAATCTGGACTCAGGGTTTCAGTGCGGTCCCCGACTCCCACCACCCGGCCCCTCCGCCTGTCCCGCCGCCAGGTGTGACCTCCACGCGAAGGAATCTTCTGCGGATGGGTGCACCTTGCCAACAGGTGTGGCACCTGGAGGATTAAGAGGCGCCTCCAGACTAAGGGCGCTCAATGTGGTGTTCTTGTTGCAGATGATTCTGGAAGGCCAGTAGGTGTCGGGAGACATTTGACCTTCTTCAGGTGCTTAGAACCAAGTGTCTGGAAACACGATCCCTTCGCGTAAGTTTTTTTCTGAAAGACACCGCTCTTGACTCTAAGCTGTATTTGAGAGACCTTTTGGCTCAGTTTACTTAAGACCTAACGGTTAGTCACCAACTGAGGCAGGGCACAGGATGACCAAAAAAAAAAATGTGTCAGTTTTTACACAACTCTGGCCTGCAAGAGTCTACGTGCTTCATAAATAAAAATAAACATCCGAGCGAGGAAGGTGCAGAGCCCCGGAAATATTTTTTCTCACGTTTTTGAAGTACCGTGCACATATACGTGGCTATTTAAATGTAACTACTACTGTTCACTGTTACTCATTTCTACAACTTTCTTTTTTCCATTTAAAAATCGATTATTGTTACGGTTTAAACCTCGGGTTGGTCTAAAGTGACATTGTTGGTCTCATTACAGCCTCTAGTGGACAGTTAACATCGGTTTCCTGAAGAGGCTCGGACTGATTTTGTTTTCATTGACAAGCTTGGCCAAGGTGAAGGTTAGTACGTAAGAGCATAATCGGGTAAAATGTCCCCCTACCCCTAACCTCACCCCCGCCCCCAACACCCTACTTGGCAAAGACGACTTCAGAAAGGAGCAGTGGCTTGTTGGCTTTGTATAGAAAAGACGTATGCTTTGTGCTGCAGGTATTATTATTACTGGACTGTGAATAAACAGAAAGCGTCTGCTATTCATTTCAGTTTCAGACAGCTTTCATAAAAACTAAATTCATCTCAAATATTTTTATAACAGAAAATATTGGTTGCCATGTTTTTGGCTTAACTGCGATGTTTTTATTCCAACTCATAATCTGCAAACTGTCCAATCCACCTCCACGCTATTTTTAGACATCTTACATTTAGATAATTTTCAGTTAAAAAAAGCTAATATTGTAATTATTACGTTGGCACAAGCAGTTAATTTATGTGATTTTAGCAACCTTGAATTAAAACACATAATTCAGATTAGAGTTAGTCAATTAATTTAAATGTTCTCTCAAGGAAGCTAAATATGTATATTACCCAAATGGTAAAAACAACTAATAAGAAATGTGTCATTTACTTTCTTAGCCATTAAGATTAAAGCCATAAACTGCCACCAAAATCTGTAACTATTTCTTCCTGCAAGATCCAACATAAACACCATACTCATGAAACAGTCTCATTACCTTTAGTACTGAAATATTTTGTTTTCAGATGGCAAAATATTAAATGTACAATCGCAAATAACAGGCACTGATTCTTTAGAAACAAGACTTTCTCTTGCAAATAAAAACTCAATGAAAAAGGGCAGAGCTTCCAAGAAGCTAGTAGGCAAATATATAGTACTACAGTCCTACTCATAAGGCTGATGTTATATTTGTAAAAGCATAAGTCAACCTTTGAAATTACAGGAAATCAATAAATAAGGCCTGATGAGCTTGACTCGTATCCTGTGTCATAGATTGCTTAAATACCATGAAAACTAATTGCAATCACATATCTATTTTACTGTTTTGGTGGTATCTACTCTTGAAGGTTTTAAATGGGCCAGCAAGTATATATTATATAATGACATATTACACCTTCACTTCTTAAAGTATAGTCTTCAAAGTAGCTGCAGCAGCACTTGGGAGTTTTTTAGACATTCAGAGTCAAGGGTTCTACCCCAGACATACCAAATCAGAATCTGCCTTTGAACCAGGCCCCAGGGGATTCCTAAACACATTACCATGTGAAGAACACTGGTCTATACCACAGGGATCAACCTAAATAAATGCAGGCACAGGTGCAGAAGTTAATTCCTCTATTTATTTCTTTTTTGCTCCTTTTTAGTAAATACAGCCCTTTATTAATTTGTGCTTTTCAATGAAAAATTATTACGTTATATGCTTTGGATAAATACTACTGCATTTTAAGTGCACACATCTGCATAATTATTGCCAAAAGAGAATGCTCTGCTGAGGAATGTACTGGGGTCTTGAACATGAACATTTTCTTCATGGCAGCAGAGGGAGCACAAGAGTGCTTAATAAAACCAATGCACAGGTCTCTCCAAATCATGACAGATTTTAAATTGTAGTATATGTTTTTATTGGAAGTAGCCCATTACGTAGTTCAAAATGAAGCAAATCAACCAAGCAAACACAAATAGGCTTACCAGGTCATAGTAACTATGTAATTGAACAGATTAAAAGTTGAATAAAACAAAGATAAAGTTCTTTAGAGTTTTAGGCTTGAATTCTTAAAAGAAAGTGGACCTCAGAAGTGAAAAAGATGCTTTAGCTTTGCTCAAAAACAAAGATAACACAACACAGAATCAGGCAACCCTAAGAGTAGCTCCTGTTTATCTAAAAACAGAGTCAGTTCACTGGACCCTGCATCAGGTAAGTTAATTTCATTTGGCGTCATACATGTTGGTTAAGGTCCATGCGTCTTTCACTGTGTTTACATTCAGAATAATTTTAGGGGTTTGTCCTTAATACTTGCAGTGGTAAGGATTTAGGTTTCAGTTATACCTATGTAGTATTTCATACTTTTCACTACTCTTCCATATTGCATCCTCAAAAACTCCATTGAAGCAGATAAGATACTTGGTAAAAGTCAAGTATCAAAAAAGTTACGGAACCAGGTCGTGCTTTCATAACACTGAGTCATTTAATTGTTTCAGTAATGCTTTGAGGTGTTCATTAATGAGGGAAATTATACAAACTAAAGATCCAGAGCATTTTTTATAGTTTTAAAGGTTTTTCAAAGTTATTCTTAGTTAATATGTTTATATATTTATTATTTATTTACAAGCAGTCATTTATTCTGCATCTACAATAACTAAGACCCGAGAATATAAAATTGAGTAAGACATCTTAGTGTGCAAGGAGATCAGAGCAGAACAGATCTTACCTTTGGAAAACTGTTAATTTTTACCCTGATGAAACACAAAGATTCATAGTTGATCGATCCAGCACCTGCCAGAATCATAGCAATCAGACTTCCAAATATGAGAAGCAAACACTAGAATCATTAAAAATTTGAGAGGCAAGGGGTGACAATTGTACAACTCTTGAGCAAAAGTTGGCTTATAAGCTAATATTAATATTTCAAATTTGTACGACAAACAAATGTGAAGATATAATGTGTATTTTATTTGAATGTCTTCCCTATCACAAAATCACATGAGTCTGTTGAGTTGGTAAACATTTATTTATTTTTATCTTTTCTAAAATGCTAAAAAGAATTTTTCTCCCACACTAAAGAGGGTTTGCCAAGTTTCTGCCTGGAGCAATTTGTTATGGCTGTGTAATAAATCCCAGAAAGTTTGAATTTTTAATGGAAACACTGACAGAATAAAGAGGGTGTAATCCTACATATGTCATTTAAAAATCTGAGCAAACCATAGTGTGCTTGCAAAACAAATATACTTTCCTTAGATTGCACTGACAAATAAGGCTGGGGAGACCAGAAAAGTAAAACAAACTCAAAACAAAAGTGAAAAACACTCACACAATAGACTCTGAGGTCACCTCACCACACCCAGACTAAAGTCACTGGGCTCTGTGCGTGGCACCAAGACTCTTAAAAGACATACTTCTGAATCATCTTTCTTGACCCTACACCAAACTGTAGCAAGACAGGCTTCCTAGGAATACAAATGACGTTACCATTAGTCAAGAGTGAAATTAAAGTCATTTTACTCAAACATCTGCCAACAGTCTATGATTTCATAGTACTCACCTCTGAAATAAGACTCTGTCTACAATTAAAAACAAAGAAAAAAAGGTACTTTAGGTCTTCACTATCCACTATGTCTATTGAGCACTGGAAATGTGTGATTAGTACAAATTAACATGTGCTGTAAGTGTGAAATATTCCTCAGATTTTAAAAACTTGGTTTAAAAAAACATTTTACATATAATATATATTACCCATTATTCTTACATTATTAATTTTATGTATTATATACACGCACATGCAATATCTCCATATTTATATTGGTTAAATGTCAAAAATATTGGGGTTTTTTTTAATAGTGTATATTGGATTAAATAAAATATATTATTAAACTTCATTCTACCTGTTTCTTTTTACTTTTTTTTTTTTTTTTGAGACAGGGTCTAGGTCTGTCACCCAGGCTGCCTTGCAGTGCAGTAGTGCAGTCTCTGCTCACTGCAACCTCCACCTCCTGGGCTCAAGTGATCCTCCCACCTCAGCCCCCTGAGTAGCTAGGACCACAGGCATGCGCCACTACGCCCAGCTAATTTTTGTATCTTTTGCAGAGGCGGAGTTTCACCATGTTACCCAGGCTGCTATTGAACTCCTGGGCCTTGGCCTCCCTGATTATAGGTGTGAACCACCCCACCTAGCCTCTTTTTACTTTTCTTAATGTGGCTACTATAAAGTTTAATATCACATGTGTGAAAGGGTTATCTATTTCATTTCTAATGAACAACACTGATACAGATATTGGGGCTGAGAAGGCACAGGAATTGGTTCTAAGAACCCAGTTTGAGACCTTAGACTCCCAGCATGGCTCCCTGCAGTGGTGTGGTAAATAGCTTATTCTTCTCCCTTCTTCATGTTCCCCCCTTGCACTGTGTAACATAGACCTTATCGTACTCTGTTATAATGATCACTGAGAGTAGACTGTCAGTGAATGCGTGATCTCACTGGTAGATCTATTACAGGCCTGTGAAACCAAAATTTGTTAGGCTTATCTGTGACTCAGTCTTCTCAGGGGAGGTCTGGTACCTTGTCACCTTGGGAGGCTGATGGAAAACCTATGCTCTGTTTTCGAAAGCACGAGCAAGCATCCTAGAGTTACAGCTGGTTTTGCTGCTTGCGGCTAAATGGTTTGGGGCCGATACTTTCTAGTGACAGATGGCTTTGGACATTGATAATGAAAATTATATAATTTGTTGCTTAAATAAAAAGCATCAAGGCCACCAAAAGGAAATCTGTTTTAAAAACAAACAAACAAACAAAAAAAAAAAAACCTTTGTAATATATTTAGTACCATAGGATGCTCTGAAAAGAAATTATTATTTTTAACTATCATTATTTATTCTGCAAGCAAGGCCTAGATACATTTTCATCAATGCAGCTCTGACCAAGATTGAATGTAAGGCAAGTATCATAATTTATGGTCTTAGTCATCTAAAGAACACAGCTCTTCTTCCATGGAAAGAAAGCAGACAACATTTTAAGGCTTGGAATGAATGAGTTGAACTTTGGTATTGGCCAGGAGCATTTGGAAATCTATTAAAAGCATTTCATTAACAACTTGGCATGTTGTTTCCTCAAAAGAAATATATTTTCCAAATAAAAATCAAAGCCAGAAGCCACCATTGTTTGAACTGAAGGTAGTGGCAGCTGATGGGTTGAACATGTTAAGCTGAGGGTGCCTTCGAAATAAGATCATGGGCAACAACAGGCTGCAAAAATAAACATCAAATTTTTATGGAAGGAGTGAAGCAATGTTCTTTGTTGTTCTAACTTCGTGACATTAAAATATGTGGCTATAAGCTCTCTTAGTTACTTTATTTTTCTTGAGTCAATATTGGCCAGGAGAAGCTGATCTGAATGAGGGTCAGAGTTTAAGAAAATTATTTTATGAGGAATTTACCAAGTTTACCCCCAAAGAGGGAGAGTGAGAGAAAGATGCATTGGCAAACTTTGCTTTTTGACATAAATAACTAGAGTTCACCAAGGAAACGGCCTGTGTCAGGATTTCAGTGAGGGTTGTCAGGCAGTTTGATATTTGCAGAACCCCTATCAGGCCTTTCCAAAGTTTAACTGCTGGGAGACCTGGGAAGCTCTCGAGACTGGTGACTGAAGATACTGATTGGCTTTGTGTCTGAGACACAGGCATAAAACGATGGCTATTGCCACAGATGCTTTCTGACAGAGCAGAATAATAGCACTCAGACTTAAACTGTACATTACAAACAATCCCTTTTTGAGTACAAAACGAATGCACAGAATGGAAGACCCTGTCAGCTAGAATACAAGTAAATCAAGTAGAAGAAGACAAATTATTCACTCATACCACTACAGCCAAATTTTTATTCTGCTAACTGCACTGTCATGAGAGAGCTTTTCTTCTTTGTCAGATGTTAACATTTATGCCTAGTGTTCCATTATCGGAACGCTAAGCATGTGGGAGTTATTTATATCCTACTGCTCAAGGTCATCGCCAAGGTCTGATTGCAAAAATTCAAAAAATTGCAACCCTAAACAGGTTAAGAAAATTGATACATCATAGTTATTACAAATATGTGAGGCACTGGATGCGTTTCCTCTGAAAGCTAATCAAATTACAGGATATGTTTCCTAACTCCCCACACCTATTCCAGTTTAAAAGTTGTAGCTTGAGTACCAGGAGTAAGAACACGTGACCCTTCACTCCCAGCGCTGGCTTTTCCTGCTGTCAATTTCGTAATTATATTGCTCCGCCCCTTGGTTTAGCACTTCCTTTCCCCTCACTACCTTCTCACCCCAACCCCCAGCAATGAATCATCACGCCTTTAATGAGACTTAGATGACCCAGTGTGAACTTTGCTGGCATCCTGTACATTCTTATGCCAAAAAAGGGGAGTTGCTCTAAGACAGAAACTAGGCAGACCCTAATGCAGATCTTGGAGGCAACAAGCTTGGGTGCTTATCTGGGAAGATCAGCGAGGAGTTAATTTTCCTAGATCACAATGGTGATTCAGAATTGCATATCTTAGTTCATGATCGGGTTTTTAAGAACCCAGTTCGACCCTTTGTGCAGAAAGGAATATATCAGAGGGAAAAATGTTGGCAGATCTCCTTATGCAATCAGGGCAAAGGAATTTATACCACATTCAACCCTTTGATTTCTCCAGATCTGGCTGAGGGTGGGGTTTCCATATTTGTGCTTTGGCAAATGTGTCCAGTAATTAACTCCTCCTGATATAAGCCCCTAGTGTTCTTCCAGGTTATCATGTGTTTATTTGTGCGTTTATTAAAACCAGAGACATTTTTGTCCCTTCATTGTTTAAATACTGTGTCTGAGTAATACAGGTTAAATAGACAACAAGAGCCTTGCCTTTTAAAGACTTTACTCCCCACCTAAGGAGGTAAAAGAGGTGTCGTTTAAATAACATTGTGCATGTGCATACACTTTCTATATGGAAAGCCCTTTCTTCTTCTCCCTCTTTCTTTTTTTTTTTTTTTTTTTTTTTTTTTTTTTTTTCTGGGAAATTTTGTC